TATCTTGGTAGATGTCCTCTGTCTTGATGTTATAACACAGGGAATCTGTGTCTGTAAACAGTAGGGTTGCCTGGSTACTGTATTTCTGCTTGATGTAATTATAACGAAAGTCGTACATCAGGGTTTTAGACAATTCTAAAATACTGAACCCGATGTAAATAGGTCTATTTAAATAAAGTGATGGTTTCTTCATGTTGACTGCCACCAAGTTTTCATCAAAGATTCTGAAGTAGTCAAAGAGGGGGGATGCTGTCAGTTTCTTGAGCTGCTTTTCCGTGTTCACCAGTTTCACATTCACTCGCTTCCTCAAGTTCTCCATGGTCTTGCCAAACACTGAATTATTCATTAATTTGAAAAAGTCTTTTTCAAAGTCATTTCTTGCATTTTTCCGTTTTTCKGTATTGAAGTCGATGTATTTCTTTAGCCAGGGAGATTGGTCAAACCCCAACAYYCGGTRTACTTTCTCCAGTTTCATACCCAGTGACAAGTACTGTTGCAGGTTGCGGTAATGAAGAACGTACTTCGTCTTATCGTTCAAGTTAGGTACCAGTTTGTCTGTGGGAGCACCGCCAAGGTTCAGGTCCTCAAGAAGTTGCTGACAGTAGGGAGAGAGCATTTCCTCTGTTACCTTTCGCCTTTCTGGTGCTAGGGGGTAGTCATTATGAAAATCGTGTAGTTCTTTGGGGTAGCTGAGGTCTACTTCCAGTATATATCCTTCACCTCCATCTACAGGGATGGTCATGAGGTTCTCGCGAAGTTCGTCCACTTCCGGGTCACTCAACCATCCAAAGTTGTTAACAGGGAGCGCTTCAGACATAGCYCAACCGTAGAGATTGTTTGCGTCGAGATACATGATATAATTATTTTCTAATTCTGGGTTATAACCCTCTACATAGCGATTATTCGCTCTTGCAAATCGATGTGTAATCATCGAAATCCCACCTCTTAACCCTTCCTCCAAAAACAGATACATATCGGGGTCTGTGAGTAATTCCAACTCCACGCCAGTCATCTTTAAACATGCTAACCAAGAAAGACCGGGAGAGGTGTAAAAATGACCTGGGTCGAGTTGGTAGTACTCCAGACAAACTTCTCTAAAGTTTTCAAACACATCTGCTAACAGCAAAACGTCCGATTTCAAATACAAGTCATGATAGTCTCCTAGATTCCTACACTGAAATTCTCTAAATACATTCTGTGCATGTTCGTAGTCTGCTTGTGAAATCGTGCTACCCGTCAACGAACTATAAAAGCAATCGATGCGGGGTAAGCCTGTTTCTTCAAATTTACCAAAACTATTCATGTATTCATAGGGGTACACCCCCTTCCTCAACAAGAGAGATACCTTCTCACTCTCCACATACTTCTTCAGGGTCTTAAACTTATCATCTCCTTCCTTACTTAGATTCATTACTAATTTCTCYAGTGAGCTATTCAAAAACTGAAGTGAGTCTATGAATACTAAATCCCCAACTGAAAATGAAATATACTTTTCCGTATTATTGGGTATACAACTAATATTCTCCCCCTTGATTTTTCCGAGTTTTTGTAGAATTAAATGTGAGTCGTACCCACGAAGATTGTGAAGAACAACGGGTATCTTTCCTGTAAACTTATAATTCAAGTTACAGTCATTGTGGGCCGCCCCCCTGTACGCCCCTGTCAAATGATCATGGTCCCTTACCCTGTCCGCGCCCAATTCCTCATTACAAATATGACAAAGGGTTGCTGCCTGAAACTCCCGCTCCTGTTCTTCACTAATGTCCATGGGTACTACCATCTTCAAGATTTCCCCTATCTGCTTTCGTTCTTCAATCAAACAGTCTAAAAACTTATCGACACAATCTTCTCCCCGATAGAGAACAGGCGGGAAGCAATATTGCTCGACAGTCGATACTACAGTGTAACAAAACCCACTGGGTATATGCTGTTGCGTTTTTTGTGTAAAACTTGTACTAGGGTCTAATTCTGTATCATCACAATTCACTAAAATCGATTCGAAATCTGCATAAATGATAAAAGGTACTTTTAACTGTTTTTGCACGTCATTGTATGACAGTGTTGTATGGTCTTCGTCGGGCAGTCTGATTTTCTGGGGTCCGTGTTTACTACAGTGAGGTTCGTAATCTTCTAACAAATCTCGCCTGACAAAGCCATGCAAACAATACATACAGTGGTACATGTGATGCTCATGTCGATTCATGCTATACAATAAACGATCTAAATCCCTGATTAAACAGTAGTGACGCGTGTCATCTTGAGAAAACAGTAACAAATTCACATGTAATTCTTTATTTTCTTTTGTGATGTAAAGGGGAAAGAGCTCTTCATCTTCATACCCCAAGACGTTGATACTGATTTCTCTATTCTGCTTCTCAAATTTGCTAATATGTTTTATTTGAACGGGGTACTCGATTCCTGACATATTTAGTTCAGCTTCATACCTTTGATAATTGCTGACGCGGTTGGCGTTGTTTTGCCAATGTACAGGGTGTTTCGCTGCTAGTACTGACCATAAAAAGCATTTTTCATCTTCATTTTGAATGTTGAGCACCGCTTTCTTGTCTTTGATCTTCYTGGGTAGAGGTATGTAACTCGATCCCTTGAGAGGGGTGTAAGCAGCGATTCCTAAATCGATTTCCAACACCTATGATAGCAACAATACTTTATTAAGCACTGATATACAGTTATATGCACATATAGCAGAAAATCATCGACGGTCGAGTAATCCCCTTTGTGCTATAACAATGGTACAATTTAATTACCTCTTCCAATAACCATCCAGACCCTTCTCTCTGGTATTCCAAGAAAGAGTTCTTGATCTTTTCCATCCCATGCACGTAGTTTTTTTCAATCTCTGTATCATTGACTGCAGTGTAGCATTTGGTGCGAAAATGAGGGGTTGAGATCTGGTCCTCACCGCCGGGGCTCGATTTGACCATCTTCACCTTTACACACAGAAACCACTTAATCCCACGATGTTTTTTGAGCTGGGTTTTCAGTTTTTTGATAATGGTGTTCTTTTTTCCTCGCAGGGTGAGTAACAGATCATATTTTTCATGTTTGTTGGGTTTATATTTAAACGTGGTCACATTTCCACCAAGCGCACATTCTTCAGTCTCTCCACCACCTATTTGTACATCATCCTAGAAAAAGAATTAGTTCTTAGAAAAAGTTACTCTACAAAGATCCGATATGAAGATAATAGAGGCTTACCTACCACTTCATTATCCCCTAAAATTTCTCCGTCGTATTCTTCATACATCTCCGGGGGTATGTTTGCTAGCTGAAATCGAAAAAATTGGTATATAAGACGACTTGAAAAACTATGTATCTTATGGTTAGTAGAGGTAATGACATATTCTGTGGTTTACATGATTATAACAAAGTTGAGATTATGAATTATATTCACCTCATATTCAATCAGTTCTGCATCACTCATTGTCTTCTGTTTTTTCACCGGTGGGGTGTTTTCTTTTTCCTCTACTTTCCTTTTCGATGACCTGCCTTCACAGACTTGTTCATGTCTTTTTAGGGCATCCTTCCGATTAAACTGTTTCCCGCATCGTTCACAGGTGAATAATCGCCCACTGTGAATAGCCTTTTTGTGCCTTACTAAGTTCGTTTCTTCTGTGAAGGACTTGTCGCATGCGTCGCAGTGAAAAGCCATCCTTTTACTTACTTGCTTGTTTTGATCCACACTCTTCAAAGGTTCGCTTGTAGTGACGAAAAGTCTGAAATTTTTCGATTTTATAGTCCATGGTAGCAACAAAATCTAAAAATAGTCATGATGTAAGGATATTGCTCACTGGTGGTGCAATCCCTAGATCTAAAAATAGACGTATGGTGCAATCCAGCAAAAGTCGATCGTTCAGAAGGAGTTTCTAAAAATAGACATGATATAACTCTGAACTAGAAGGATTAAGTACATCGTGTTTAACATAAAGAAAGAAAGTCGAAAGTTCTTTAGATCCTGAACATAGTAGAAAGACCATGGCTAATGAGCTTAAGTCTTTAAGCTGTGGACACCTGGTTGAAGTTCCTTTAATACATGATCGGTGTGGAAAAAAGTACTCTGACTGCTCTCATACGGTGGAACTACCAAACTGCTTTATCTGCCCCGAATATTATGCTACATGCCCACACTGTAGCGGGAATTTCTGGAATTGCTCATGTACCTGGCCCGATAGTGTATACCTAGTTGAACTCATTAGTGAATAAGAAGCATACACATTCTTTGTTTAAAACAATAAAGTATGCTTTGAATACTGAGCAACGTGTTCAATATTCATTATATCTAAAAACCCTCGTTTAGATTAACTGATTCGGAAATGGGTAAATAAAGTTTTCTTGAAGAGTAATAGCATAGAACTCGCGGTAGCTCAGTCGGTAGAGCAACAGACTGTAGTATGTAATAACAGTTATCTGTAGGTCGTCGGTTCAATCCCGACTCGTGAGATAAAACTATTTTTTGATAGAAAG